CATAGGTAGAAGAGCAAGCTGGGCCAGTGGTACAGGACTCTTGCAAATATAGCCAATCATTTCCTGTGCTCTTTCTGCCTTCCTTTGATGGCCCATTAGTGGTCATCAAAGGATTTGGGCAGTTTCTCTCAGCTTGCAGAGCTCAGTCCATTTGTGCTCCGAGCTTACACATGTCCTTTATTTTCCAGCTGTTCAGTTGCTCAGAGCTGTTGCCACCTCTGCTGGTAGGGCTGTGCCTTTCACTGCAGGTGGGGTTCTAAGGAGCTGCCTCGGGCAAGCAGCTGAAAAGCTGTGGTCCTCAGCAGATGCAAAGGCCTCCCTTTAGAGCCTTTCTCCTCAATTTCTGCCTCCCTTCCCTGACCTTTTTCTTTGCTTCCCAGTGTCGTTCATGCATAACTGTGCTTGGACTCTCTAATCGTTGCCTGCAGGAAGAATCACCCCCGGCCTCTTCATCCTCCCTCTGAGTCTTCATGGTCAGCGGATTCTTCTTCATTACCTAGGCTCCAGCATTCTCCTGGGGTCAGGGGGTGTCTTTATTGCCTCAATCTTTTGGGTTTCCTGAGGTGAGCATCTGGGGAGACTACATTCTCTGCATCTATAAATATCACCCACTACACATTCATTTAAAGGTACACCGTTATCAGATACAGAATTTTAAATTGGGAAGTTTTGATTTTTTCTCCCTATCAGGACTTTCAAGGTATGCTGTTGCTGTCTGGCCATGAAGATTCAGTACCACATACACAGCAGTCCCGTGGGTCAGCAGACTGAACATGGACTTGCTGTCTCATAATCTGAGTCCTGGGGTGGGAGGTCTTCTTCTGTGCTCCTTTCTTCTGTTGTAGCCTCCAGGGTGGCCGGTTTGAGGGTACCATGAGTGGGCGGACACACACAGCCAGTTCTTTTCACCTCACTGCAGCAGCATACTCACAGCTGTTGTCTCAGTTGGAAGTCTTGGGGACAAACTCAGAGGCAGTATGGATTGCACAAGAAAGTGTGGGCTGATGCGCTTGGCCCCAGCAATCCAGCAGAGCCTCTTTCAAAGAGCCTATGAACTTGGGTCTGTGGGCATGCCTTTTCTCCTGGTGGGCTTGATCAGATGCATGCTATTAGTGTCCAGAATGGTGCAGGCAAGCTACACTGACCCACAACTAATGCTAAGTTGCCTTGTGACACATGCACCATGGAACCTTCCAGAAAACACAGGCTGAAATAAACTAATCCATATTGCACATAAGAGGAGTCCTTCTTCACGCAGAGCCTCATGGTAGACAGTTGCACCCTCTCCCATGGAGCCCAGCACCAAGGACTGAGGGCACAGATGTTTTAAACAGAACTCTCCTGGGGATCTCACACCTCACTATCACATCTTTTCCCCTTTATGCAGAAATTCTCTTTTCCAATATACACTTAAACATGTGATTAGCAGCTCAAGGCTGCCAATCTGTGTGTACAATGAGGACAAATACCTTGACCTCTCCCTATAGGAAACTTTTCTCTTGTTGAGAGAGAAATATAAAGAGATACATAGGTCTTTGCAGCTATGGGAGACAGAAAGAGGGGAGTTGAAGCACGCCATCCTTTGAATGGCCAAGCATGAATTTAAATCTACAGAGTGAGTGGGGTCTAGATCATGGGGCACTGGGGTTTTGTCAGGCAGAAAGGAGTTCATATGAGGGTGTGAGAACACGTGCACATGGTGAACCAGACTGGCTGGGTGCGGCGATGGGGGATGGGGGCACGAATCTTGTGCAGTGGGGCCGTCCTGCTTTCTGCCCTGGGCGCCTCCCTTATCTTGCTTATGGTGGCTTCTCTGTGACTTGATTTATGTTCCATCCATATATGAGACTTATAGCAAAGGGTTTTTAGTGTGGCTACTACAGCCTGACAAATCAACACACCCATTGCCTCTGAGAGCACCCAGTGTGTGTGTGTGTGTGTGTGTGTGTGTGTATGTGTGTGCATGCATGTGCACGTGTGTATGGTATAAATGTGTATATGTGTGTATGTGCACGGTATGTATGTCTGTATATACATGTGTGTAGTCATCACACCTGAAATCTGTGCTTTCACTCAGTGTTCAGAGCCTCACAAAATGTCCTTATCAGAGTCTCCTGCTGTGTGCATATACAAGGCAGGGCGACTCACACAGGCTTTTGGCCTCTGCTTCTTACCCCCAGTAGGAGGGCCCCAGATCCTGCGCATTATGGCGGCCACAGCCACCCAGACCTGCACCATTTGATCTGCAACCCTGCCAGTGTGCTCTGCTAGTCATGGCCCCATGTGCGCTCTTCATTCATTCTGCTCAGGCCCTCACTCCACTCAGTGGCTGGAAGACCTTGCCATCTGCTGTGAGTGATGTTTAGCTGAGGTTCTCTGCCTGTGTCTCTGGTCTTGGCTCCTACCTTCAGGGTCTTAAGTTAACACTTCCTTTCTGGTCTTGATTCATGGGAATCCAAATAGGTTTTTTGTTTGTTTGTTTGTTTGTTTTTGTTTTCTTTCATACTCATGTCTCAAGCTATGGGCCATGTTCCTCCTTAGAGTCACTGGCCTCTTTTGAAGCAGGACTGGTCTGTGCCCAAGACAGACACTGGATCTTCTGACTGCTTTTGTCCCGGAAGAGTCTTCTCAGAGAAACACCAGAGGAAAAGAGGCAGGAGCTTCAGCTGAGCCACCAAAGGTCGTCTCAGCTTCACAGGGCCAATGGCTACCCACGACCAGTGATGGAGACAAATTCCCTCCCCGAAGCGTTGGTGGAGGGAATAAACGAATGATATTCTTAAAAGCAGAAAACAAATGTGGTTATTATTTCAGAGTAATTCCATGACCGCAGGCACAAACAAAGAAATGAAATATATTTAGGATGCAGCAGGCCCCTAGCGGTGAAAACTTCTGGATGATGGTGTGAAGGGTCACAGAGCGAGATCAGGCCTCATTGCATGGAGCCAGTGCACAGGAGCTCCAAGGAGATGAAAGTGTGGTAGCTGCTCCAGGTTTGGGGGAGCACCATCAGTTCTGGCAGAGAGGGGTTCACTAAGTGGCTGAGTCGGGGGCAATGTCCTGTCTCCATGGCAGGTACCTGGCCAGACAAGACCAGACCCTGTGCCCCTTCCTATATACATGTTGCTGAGGAGTTGACAGGTCTGCAAGCTGAGCCAGGTGGACAAACAGGGACAGGAGCTGAGGTAGAGCCCTGAGATAGAGACGGCTGAATATGTGTTAGGGCAATAATAGCTCACTGTCCCGAGCTCCTGAGGTACTGTTTTTTGTTTGTTTTTTTCCTGTGGAGCAACACAAATGTCTCTCTAATCTGGTTCTTCATTCCCGAAAGATTGTGCATGGCAACTCCACTTTAAGCCCAGTTTATCCTTCCCTATTAACTTTTCCTACTTACTGCTCACTTCCCTGGCTGGCCTTGTGGAGGAATATCCACCATGAGCTCAGACAGGTAAGAGGGAAGGACCTACGGACAACCCTGCCAAGTGAAATACAAAAGCCTATCTCTTCCCATCAAGTGCAGTCTTAGATCTCCAAGATCTGGTTTCTCTCCATTCCAGAAACAGCTGTAAGAAGAACAAGTCCTATATGCCTGGCCACCTTTCAAGCTGCATGGTACCTCAAAGCTCTATGTGCTTTCCCCCTGGATGTCAAGGTGTCTATCAGGAGGCAGGGAAGACTCAGATACTGCGGGAAAGAGGGGCAAGGCTCTTTTTGGGTGTCAGTGGCTGTCACCTTGGGTTACTTTAGCTCAGCTATCCCTTACCTTCAAAAGGTACCTCTGATCACAAGCTCCTTCTGTCATGGGTTGTCACCCTTGCTGGGTGCATTTTAGGTAATACAATTGCCTTTGAGTTGACTTTGCACCTGTCAGTAACTCCTCACTGTCAGTTACTCTCCCCTAACCTCAATAAACTCTCTGCTACTTAAAGTAGGATTTTTACTTTTCTCTATTGCCAATTCCCTATCTGGGATGAATAGACAACTTCCTAGAAATAATGCCATACAATGTGTGATTAAAGGATGGAGGAGGGGACCTTGCTCTTGGTACCACTGATCCATATGGACTATACTCTGACTGCCATACTCCAAGGCAGCTTACCACAGTATACCTTTGTGAAGGAGCCTGAAGGTAAAGACTCCAGGCTGACTCTTCTTGGTATGGGCATTCATGCCTCACCTGAGAAGGGATAGGTTTCTTTTTTGGGGGGGGGGGGTGGATATGGGGGTCGGGGCTGATGATAGCTGCCTTTTGTTTCCTTCTCAGCCCCAGCACAAACCATATCCTTAAAGGCAGACTGGTGTTGTCTACCTGCCTCTGTGTCTTTGAAGGCTGATGGACTCTCTTTGGAACAAAGCCCAAACTATCACCTACAGCCCACCCAACAGACTACCATCCACAGCCCACCCAACAGACACAGCTATCTGGGGTTGGTATTGGTAGAGGAGCTGGAAGATGGCTCTGAGTGGTGACTTTAGGCCTCATCTTCAAGGACTGCTCTTTGGAGGCCTGAGATTTCTGTGAAAGGAAATCCTCCAGGAGTGCATGCACTCTTGAGCAGGACTCTCCTTCTCTATCTTGGTCATTATAGCCCAAGAACTGGGAGACAGGCAGATACATGTGGTAGTCCATCTTCCCTTGGGCCACCTGGATGTCTCTGGCCCACAGGGGTGAAGGAAAGCAGAAGACTATGTCTTTAAAGAGCAGAGAGTCCTGCCCTTGCCTCTGGGGGATGGGCAAAGGACTCATCCTAGGGGTGCAAAGCACACCTGAGCAGAACTATCATATAGTATAGAACCCCTGGGGTGGCTTTAGAGCCCGCTGCTGCAAGCCCAAGAAATCCTTGGCACTCAACTTCCAGATGGTGCTACAAGAAGTGTCAGTCTCGGGTTCTGTGACCATGAAGGACCCAGTGCATGGTGCCCACCTATGGTCCCCACCAGCCACACAAGCTACTCCCCTCTCCCAGGATACCACGGCCAGGGAACAAAAGCCATGCTTATCAAAGGACTTTTTTTCTTTATTTTCATAATTTAGCTGAATCAACACAAAATTGGATACTGTAAAACAAGGGGGGAAATATGCTGCGACATCTTAATTCTCCCGGCCTCTGCCCTCAGAGGTGTCTACACTAGCTTTCAAAAGAAACAGCCAAAGGGAGGTGGTGCGATGTTGAGATTCAGTGGTGAAATAAGACCTCCTGCTTTGCTGACCCCCTGCAACATAGGCCACCAGAGCCTGGCACCATGGGGACAGCGGCCTCGCCTGACCACCTCCTCTGATGAGAATCCTTCGTGCCAGCCTCATCTCACTGCCCAGCATGCTCATCCCTATGTAAGTGAAGGGGGTGACATGTGGCTACTGGAATGGGTCTCACAGAAATGGGCTTTCTTTCCTATCTTTAGCCTATGGTTGCTGAAACAGCATCTATATACTGGAAGTTAAATACTTTTTTTTTCTTTTACGTTTTTCTTTAGTAGCATATTACTAGCATGATAGTCATGTTAATTGGACGTGTAGGTAGTATACTTTTAGCAGAACTCAGGAAAATGAATAGGGACCATGTCTGTCCCTTATTCGCTGGCCTCTGGTCCCACAGTGTAGGGTAACCAAGGACAGTGACTCTGTTCCCCAGCTCCTCCACCCCCTTCACCCCAACTGTCTCAGCCTCCGAAAGTGGAGACCTCTGAGAATGAGGGGAGGGGGCATTCATTTAGGAAGGGCAAATTGGCCGAACATGGACTCAAGATCTACGGATGGCAAAAGGGGTTAGGAGAGAGAGGGACCAAAATATTGTACACACAATGTTTACCAACACAGACTCACAGGGGAATGTGAGCTACCTGACCAGACCAAAGCAAAGAGAGACACAGCTTCCTAGAATGGGCAGGGCCCTCTGCACCTCACCCACAGCTCTGCCCCTCCATGCCTGCACTGAGGTCCTCCATGGCCACCCCAGAGTCTCCAGGGTCACAGGGGACGCAACTCTCGGGATGGTCAGAACTGCCGTCAAATGTTAAATAGGATTTTCTACAAATATACAACATATAAAAACTGTTAAATATATAACTTTAGGCTTTTGCAAAATACATTTAATGATCTCTTTCAAACAGGGTTACTTCAGTTTTCTTTAATTTGCTTTCTGGAGCTAAATGGTGTATCAGATGAGATAGCAGTCACGGGAGACCCAGCATGCTCTTGGCAAATGGTGGATTATCCAACTATCAAAAATGGAGCTGTGGAAGAGGCATGTCTAACTGGTTAAAACAGAAAGTGATTTTAGTACGATAGAGTTGGTCTAAGCACAGGGGCAAAGGGTCTGTGTCCGGGGCCCTTGCTGTCCGCTGGGGGCCGTCGCCGGCCACGCCCCGGCTGGGTCCTGCAGGTGCACCACGGTGGTGTCCTTCTGGGCAAAACCATCCTCCTAGGGCACGCTGCAGTGTTCGTGGGGCGGGGGTCTTGGCCGCGGATGCCCTCTCCATGCTGCCTGGGCCACCAGCATGTCTGCCCCTGTGCCCTCCCCCGCCCCACAATCAAACCCGGGAACTCTTGGCAGCAGGGATGCGTCCACGTTAAAATAGATTTGCTCTTTGGTCTATTGAGTATACTGAAAGTATAAGAAAATAAAAGCGATTCAGACAGTCTGGGACAGAGGAAGTGGTGGCTTCTGCACCTGGCAGTCCCCGGACTTTGCGTCGTGGCTCAGCTGGCTGGGCCGCAGCCTCCTTATTCTTGTTCCTGTCCTCCAACTCCAGGGAGCAAGTGGCTAGTGAAGATGGGTGCAGCCAGGCTCCACACACCAGGTACTGCTGATTCCTGGCACCACCCCTGACATGTGCATCTGAGTCCCGGCCTCCTGGGTTCAGTTGGACAGACTTGAGCTCAGAGCTCCTCGGAACTGGGCTGTCCTTGTTAGGCTGCTGGGGAACAGTGGGTGGATGAAGGAGGAGGAGAATGGGCGGTGTCCACACAGGATGGAGGACGGTGGCTGAGGTGTAGAATCTCCAGGGAGCCACAGTCACTCCCAGGGGGCACCGCAGGGGCTGCGATTGTCAGGAGACCTGAGGAGCAAAGACAGAGAGCTGTCAGCCTCATACAGAGAGCACCTGGAGTCAGGTCCCTGACACACACCTTCCCTTTTGCCCTTTTGTCCTGGGCAAGTTAAACATCTGGAAGCGAGACTACGATTGCAGACCTGGTTGGCTGGGGCAAGTACCCCTTGCCCCAAGTACTCTGCATTGATTAAGCCCCAGAGGCACCAGTCTGTGTCCCACGGGAGGCTGCCCTCTGCTGGGGACACAGAGGAAACTCTTGTACACTCTCCAGCCTGTGCTGATCTAGGTCCTCTTGGTTTCCTGAGGGTGCCTAGCACAAATCTGAATACTTTGCCTGCTCCCTACACTGGTGCAGGAGGCAGGCACTTCACCCTTGGACCCTTTAACAGTTATGGCAGGGTGGGAGATAGCTGGTCCCCACCCCTCAGCTCTCAGACTGAGACAACAGACCCTAGAGAATTCGAGTATCTCCAGAAGCTCTAGGGTGACAGAAGGGGAAGGTGCAAGGTTGGTGGCAGCCACGGGGGGAGAAGCCTGTTTCTCAGCAAGAGCACGCACACAGTTTGGATAACTTCACAGACCACCTTGTGGTCCCCTAACAACGGGAACAGGGGCTGTCTCTGACTCTGTTGCCTGCCTATGGATCCCTTTTCCTTAGCTGGGCTGCCTTGTCTGGCCTCAGTGGGAGAGCTTGCGCTTAATCCTGCTGCGACTTGAGGTTCAAGGGTGGATTGGTACCCCTCCCAGGCCTTCCCTTCTCTGAGAGTGAGAAGATAGAATGAGGGGAGCAGCATGCGAGGGTGGGACTGGGGTGCAAAGTGATAAAATATTTGAAAACAAAAAAAAGAAAAGAAAAGAAAAAAGAAAAAAAAGGAGAGACTTGAACTGAGACAATGATGGTCAGTACACCTTGACAAAGACTGTTTGGTCACACAGATGCCTCCTATCCTCTACACCTAAACCTCATTCAGTATCCTACAGACTCAGGGATCACCTGACCTCTGACTCCTCCTCCCAGTGTGTACATGCGAAATAAATCTGCTTTCCCTGCTCTTCACCACTGCTGGCCTCAGTTGTATCAGGATGGATGAGAGGCCTTGCTTGTTGAGGCTGCCAGATCTCAAGCTAAGACTCTCAACACTGCCAGTCAGAACCCTAGCTCTGCCACCCTGAGGGGTTGCCCTGGGATGGAGACACCACAATTCCAGAACATGGGATCTTTCCAACATGGACAAACCCCAAAGATATGTACACGTAGTGGGAGGTTCAGCTGCTGAGCGGCCTCTCCAGGCCATGTGCCATGGGAGAGGGCTTCAGAGATGACAAGGGTTCACGGTGGCAGCCACCATTCCTTTGGCCTGGCAAGTTTGTAGGTGTAGGCGGTCCTTTGCATCTTTATTACTTACCAAACATAAAGGAAGAACTGCATCTGAAAAGCTCACATTTCTCTTATCGATATCACTGGACAGTGCATGTAAGAACGGTCACATAGCATTCACACTGCAGCTGTCATCAGAGGCTGACTAAGGCCGCACCATCCTGCCTGCCTCTGTGGCTTGGCAGGCTTGGTGTGGGCTTCAGTGATGTTCGCCCTTCTCCCCCTACTGTCATACTGAGCTGGGATGGGATCTGTGGTCTGTGTCTGCAGCAAATTTTGGAAGGTGATTGTTAGATACGATAAGATGGTGGGGGCTATCTGCAAACAGAGGAAAACCAACAGCTGAAACCATACACATTTGTTATTCAGTGACATCTCCTTGGGAAAAAAAAAGCCATATTGTTGAATTATCAAAAATTCACCCTTCTTAGATGTGTTCTGAGGGCTGCTCTCCCACAACTGTTGTGTAGCAAACAGTCTCTGCTCTTTCTAGAAAGAAACAATGAGGAAAGTCTTAGCATTTCTCCATCTGTGCTGCAGGACAGGATCTCCTCCCCCTGCACACACACCCTAGCTGGTGTCTGTTCTTGTCCATATTATTGCACTATAAAGTCATGCTCCCAGCATTGTGGAGATTCTTCATGGTGAGGGACCAAGCAGACCACGCTTAGCACTGTTTGTTCCCCCTTCCTGCACCCAAGGCTGCCTGCCTGGTAGCGCATGGCTGTGGCAACCCTTGCAAAACCACAGAAGCTCTGGGCTGTTCAGGCTACCCACTGGCTAGAGGGATTATCCCTGAACATAGATCTGCTGAGACACAGCTCATAGGCTGCCTCACACGCTCCCTGAGGGACAGTCCTGCCGTCCACTCGACACTGAGCTCCTCTGTTTCTGCCCTTGCTTGGAGCTGCTGTGTGTCATGGCTGTACATAGATAACCCAAACAACAGCAGTTCCACACCTCACAGTTCTTGGCCTAGAGTTGGAGGGCAGCTGACCAGGGCTGGCTCCAACTGCAGGGAATCACCCAGGTCTTCTTGAGGCTGGTGGTTGTGGCCTCAGATCCATGCTGATAGGACCCTGACTTTGCCTCTTTCTCACAGCTCAAGTTAAAACAGTTGCCACTGGCCATATTAGGCACAGAAGTACACTTTGCCTGGAGGGCCTTGGTTCCATCATATGAGCACAGACCCGCTGCCACGGGTTCTGAGTGGACATTCCTCTTGGGATTCCCCCATTAAACCCAGTGGGTCCTTTCTTCCCTCGCTCCCTGGACAGCCTGTACGTTCTCATGTGGGTCAGCTGCTGATCCAGGCTGCTGACTGTGATCCCAAGGCTACCCTCTCAGATTCTCACCTTCCCAGGCTCTGCTGTGCCCCGAAGGCACAAGTGTGTAATGCCATCTGCCCCTAGCCTTCTTTCATGTGGATCATGTGAGACAGCTTGACCTGTGCCTTCCAGTTCCATCTAGTGCCTGTGTGCCGCCTGTGTGGCCTAAAACAAGAATGCCATGTAACAGTGCGAGCACTGTAAAAACAGTCTCCCCACCTACCCCAGCCCTGAGTTTAATGATGGGCTGTTGAACAAAGGTCCTGATTTTGAAGAAATGTCTTCCTGCTATTGTGACTAGCCTGGCAGCGTTGAAGATATTCCAAAGAGATGTTTGCTGCTCTCACTTTGGCTGTCCCACTATTCTAACAATGATCCCTAAGAATCTGGAATCCCTCATCCCCCCAATAATTTCATGCTGGGAAAAGAGAAAGCTTAAGGCCTGAGCTAGATAGAGGGGACACTTCAACACGCTGAGATTTGCAACTTGTCAGGGCAGCTTACAGAAGGGACAATGATGTGACCAGCACCGCTTAGATATGCACAATGCCGCCCTCTACTTAAACCTTGACCTCACTTCAGGACCCTGAGGATGGATCTGAGGAAGTCATTGCATCTCTTTTCCCAACGTTGTCACATTAAATAAATCATTTTTTTCCTCCTTCGCTTTTCACAATTAATTGGACTGTTTAAAATGGCTTATTGAGTATAGGTGGCTGGGCCTGGCTTGCTGGGCACAGGCTGTGACTCTAAGTCCAGTCACTGTTGTAGAGTGAGTCTGGAGCACGCCTCACAGTAATCAGCAGTTGTATGATGGACATGAGGTTGTTGGTGCCACTTTGGGCCTACTGTGGTTTCCTGTCTGCACCCTGGATACGATGGCTGCTTCTTCGGCTTCTTTGACCCTTATCACTGTGGCCACAGCTACACAGGCCCTGGTACCACAGGCTCCCATTCACAGGTCTGGTCCATATTTAAGAAACCCATTCCACACCAATACACACTACTGTGATCAAAATCTTTAGTTTCATTCTTCCACATGCAAGTATCTAGTTTTTCCAGTGCTCTTCACTGAAAAGGCTGTCTTCTTTCTAATGTACACTTTTGGTACTTTTTGTTTAAAATCAGGTGCTGTTCCTGGGTGGGCTTTTTTCTGGGCCCCCTATTCCGTACCAGCCCACATGCTGTTTCATTTCTATGGCTCTGTAGTGTAACAGAGGTCGGGTCTTGTGGTACCTCCAGGGTGTTTCTTTCTGTTTAGGACGGCTTGAGCTCTCATACGAATTTTAGAATTTGTTTTCTCTATTTCTTGTGACAACTGCCACTGGAATTGTAAGTCTTCTAAGTCTGTGGACTGCTTTTGGTTATATGGCCATTTAAACAATTAAAACAACAACAACTAAACACACACACACACACACAAAAAAAAAAAAACAAAACAAAAAAAAAAACCACAGGCCATTTGTCCATGAAGGAGCTTGAATGGTCTATCTTCTAGTGTCTTAAACTTTCTTCTTCAGTGTCCAGTGTCATGGTGCTATTACTGCAGAAGTCTCCACTTCCTTGATTAGTTTTATTCCTTTCATATTTTTGAAGCTATTGTGAAAGTCAGTGTTTTCCTGATTTTTCCCTCAGCACATTTGTTACTGAACTTTGTATGGTGACTTTGTATCTTACTTGGCTTAAAAGTGTTTATCAGGACTAAAAGTTGCCTCCTGGAGTCTTCAGAATCTTCTACATTTAGAATCATGCTCTCTGCAAACAGTAGTGGTTTTGATTCCTCATTTCCTGTTTCCTCCCCACTACTCCTTTCTCTTCTTGCTTTTTTAGGCTGGGTCAATTTTTGTCAACCTTACACAAGTGAAAGTCATCTGAGAAGAGGGAACTTCAGTTGAGAAAATGCCTCAATCAGACCAGCCTATGGGGCATTTTCTTGATTAATGATTGATGTGGGAATGTTCAGTCCATTTTTGGTGGTGTCACCCCTGGGAAGGTGGTCCTGGGTTGTATAAGAAAGCAACCTATGCAAGCCATGAGGAGCAAGCCAGTAAACAGCACCCTCCATTGCCTGTGCTTTAGCTCCTGCCTCAAAGTTCCTGCCCTGTTTGAGTTCCTGCCCTGGCTTCCCTCAGTGATAGACCATGATCAGGACTTGAAAGATGAGTAAATCCTTTCCTCTCCAAGTTGATTTTGGTCAGAGTGGTCAAACACAGAAATAGAAGGTAATTAATACTCTGTTCTAGCCAAGGTGGCACACACTACAGAGCAGAGACCCTTGTTCCTTTTCCTCAGTTGTCCCA